ACATTTGACCAAACTACACTAATAAATTAATAATTTTATGTAAAATAATATAAAATCAAACAGTAAAAATTGAATTATTGCAAAAATAAAAAATGTGGAACTCGTAAAATCACAACACCATACCATATTTTAATTGATATTTTTAGTTAATACTTCATCTTTTTAATTAAAATCATTTTCTTTCCATTTTTCATGCATTTCACAAGTAAAATCTTCTTTAAAAAATTAAATATTGAACTAAAAGAAATGGTATAAACACAAAATAATATATATTTTTTGATCAATATAAATGTATGTGTGTTGAATTTTTTTTTTTAATTAGATGTTTGTAATTTTTATATTTTTTATGAAATTATAAATTTGAGTGGGAGTATATGATAAGATTGATTATATTAATTTTTGTATGTAAATATTACAAAATTAGTAAAAAGTAGAAGTATATATTAAAATAAAATGTGTATATGTGTCTGGTGAGGGTAGATTTTGTGCAGTGGGTCTAGTGGTTGGCACTGGACGCAACCTGGTACTTTACGTGGTCCACATTAGCAGTCTCTTCAGTTCAGCCATCTTTTGGTCTTGTCTGCGGACCCCACCATATCCAACCTTTCTGATTGCCCATCGCTTTTCTTTTTTATATTAAAAATTAAAACTCTTTTTTTTTCCCGAAAAATACAAAAAAGAAAAAAAAAAGTCTTAAAAAATACTACTAAAATAATTATTAATAAAAAAATATTTCAATAAAAAATCATCTAATATTTATTAAAATTAATTATAAAAAGTATTGTCATTTTAAAAAAAAAAAATTGAAGTTTTATGTTTTAAAATTTAAGTGTAAGTTGTTAATAAAATTTAAAATTATTTTTTAAGAATTATATATTGTATTTTTTTACTCCAAATTTATGAAAAATAAATTTTGAATTTAATTATTATAAAAAATATTTTATATTTTATTCTATTCGTTCAATTATAAAAATATTTTAAAACACAAAAATATGTGAAAATCACATTAGCTAATCTAGCAAAAAAGTCAAATTATCCACTTAAAAAATAAAAAGTCAATTTATCACATTAGCTAATCTTGCATAATGCTCTGTATATTTTTGTTTGTTTGTTTTTTTTTTGTTTTTTTGGGGTCTACTTGTTGCTTTGATATGCTTCTGATATGGGTTTGATGTATAACTTTCTCTTTATATAATAAATTTATTTTTATCTTATAAAAATTTAATCTTTAATTAATTATAAGCTATATAATATATAATTAATTTTTAAAATTATGACTTGTGTCTAGCACGAGACACTTTCTTTATTTGCAAAAGCTGAGATTTTTTTTTTTTTCTAAAAAAGCCACATAGTTATATGGCCTGGCCAAATGTGATACATTATTGTTTTATTTTATACAAAGGAATGAAATCAAACCTTAATTATTTACGTTTTTTAATGAGATTTATTTCCATTTTCAAATAAATTTACCCATTTTTTTTCAGATTATGATTACATTATGCAAGTGTATAAAAATAGTATATGTATATGCATGCACCTTATATATTTTTTTAATATATAAGAGAGGCGTCCCTCTCTAACACCCAAGAGTTGAGACAAAAAAAAAAAAAAAAAAAGAAAAAGAAAAAGTTCAACTTGTCCAAAACACAGTACAAAAAGAAAACAGGACTTTTCCGTACACACCGAAACGCGGTGGCAATAGTGTAAATAAGGAAAAGAAAGAGGGCCAATTAGTAAATTTTGCCCTTTCCATTAATTCAAAAGAAGAGAGAGGTGTAGAGGAGTTTTTGTAGAAAAAAGAGTTCAAATGTGACCCGGAAAACGGCATTACCGGTAATAGTGAATCTGACTGGAAAAAGAAAGCTCTCCCTGGTGCACCCCGAAAATTCCGCTATTTATAGCAAACCCCCCTCTAACAACATTTCTCCTAACCATCCAATCTTCTTCTTCTCAGATTCTCCACTCAATTTTCTCTTCACTGTAACAGATCTCTTCTTCTTCGTCTTCTTCTTCGCTTTTTTCTGCTCTTTTCACTCCTTTCACTCCTTTTATCTTCTTCTCCCCCCTTTCTTTTCTTTCTTTTTTTTTTTTCAGACTCCGCGTCTTTTTCTATATTCTTCTCACTTTCTTCTTCAATATACAGAGGAAAACTCCACTTGTACACTTGCATTCTTCGTCGCTGTCTCTTCTCTGCTTCTGTTTGCTTTGCTGAGAATTCTCGAGGTAAGTTTCGTGTTATATTTTTTGGCCTTTTCAAATCGTAATTCGATTTCTCTTGTTTTCTCCTTTTGTGTTTAATTTTTGATCCTTCTATTCCTTGCTGGATCCCTCATTGAGTTGATTGAGAAAACTGGTTGAAAGTGACGGACGACGTGTATTACTTGCTTCGATTTTCTACATATTGTAACGTTTGGTGTCTCTGAGCTGTAGCTCTTTGTTTTGCTCGTCTCAATCTCCTCTTTTCCTTTTTCTATAAATAAATGTGTATGTATGTATTATATATTATGAAGAAGGAAGGTTTCGCATAGTTTGCCGTCCTTTTCTTTTTTTGTTGTATGTGCGATAAATAATAACTATATGCATGCCTATCTTGTGTTAGTGCCTTTTAATATACCTAAACTCTATTTGCAGAACTCGCTAGTGTTTCTAGTTAAAGAGAAAACAGGCCAAAGAACTGGTAGATGAAAATATTGTTTCTAACTTTTATTTTTGAAGATTAGAAAAGATATCAATTTTTTAGTTCTAAAATTTAAAGAACTTGCTTTTAATGATTAAATTCAGATATTATTTTTGGTAAATAGAGAAAAGGCACAGATATGAAAAGAAAAAGAATCAAACAAACTTCGGCTGCATTTGCTTTGGAAAAATTATTTTAGTTTTATTTCTATATTCATATATGTTTAGCTTAAAAACATACGTGGTGGTTAAAATGAAAAAGAATGTTTTCGATAATGAATGTAAAATTGGGACATGAACTTGAAAATAATAAAAAGAAATTAGGACCATATGTGTTAGTTGAGAGTTAAAACACTTTTAGCAAATAAAACTAAAATTATAACATGAATGTGGACTACTTAGTATTTTATAGAATTTGTTTTCATAAACTTAAGAATTATAGACACCCTTCCCAGAATGAAAAATAATTGACCCATACATAGACATATCAACATTAGACATAAACATAAGCATGTGCCGAAAAGAAAAACTTCACAACGTGTATCAAAACAGACCTTATTCCTAGTGTTCTCTGTAGAAATGTAATCTATTTGTACATAAAGTACCGTTCATATGTATATATACGAATTAGTACTTATATATGAATAGAAAATGAAAATTTAAAAATGTTTCTTGTATCATGTAGAAACCTTATTATTTTTCTCTAATTGTTTCATATATGTTTTTTAATACTTTATTTTATTTTCAACAGTCAAACGTATTGTTGTTGCATTGTTTTATTATCAAAGAAATTAGAGAAACCAGTTGGTTTTAGACAATGAAACACAACCTAGTATTTCCGTTCAACCCTTGCTCCATTTTGGCCTCAAAATGATCTTTGAAAAGTTTTTCAAATACTACGTAGTGATTTGATTAAACATCTTATGTCTATGTTGTTTGCTTAACGTTTGCAAACCTCAATTTTCTGTTAATTTGGATTTCTTCTGATCAAGCGTCAAGAAACTAAATGGATGTGGATGAATGAAAATCCTGAGGTGTAGCCTTAAATCATGGTTATAGCACAAACATATATACATGAGAAATTGAGAGATCAACTATCTTTTTTTTTAGTTCAAGTATTTATTCATTGATGTACTTCTGCTTCAGTTTCTTCGGGCAAAAAAGATGCATACCGATGGATATTTGAGTTGCAGGTAAACCAAGAAGGTTACTGTAAATTGTTATCAGTTTGTTCATAGCAGGACCATTCAATATCGTTTCTCTTACTGTAGTTCACTGAAAATAAATAAAGCTTAGATATCTCTGTTTTCATATGGCTAAAAAAATAAGTAGAAGTGGGGTGTGGAGCAAAAAGACCAGAGGTCAAGTAAATTGAGCCTCAGGGTGTAAGTAAGACACATAAACAGAAAAAATGGAACAATCATTCTTATCCGCAGAGAGAAGTAAATAAGGGAAGAAATGGCACTTGTTGAATATTGACCTGATCTGCATTGCACGTTCTGCTGAGTAATTTGCATTAGTTTTTTTTTTTTTCCTTCCTAAGCTTCAAGTTGAAGAGATGTTAATATCGTGATAACTTTCTGGAAAGGAGAGAGAAGTTTGCAATCGAGTTTATTAATTAATTTACCACAAAATGCTAAAGACCTTTGAGTAGTGTTCTTCATTCCAAGTTTATTTTTGATTAGATTTTCCAAACGATGATTACGGTGTTTTATCCCCGCAATTGTGGCCTCTCAAAATTCTGATCTTACTTTGAGAAATTTTTAGAGATATTATCATAATGTTGCTTGCACTGTTTCAGGCATACAATGCGAGGAGAAAATACTACTTATCCGGAAGGAGAAATTAAGATAAGTTTTGGCTATCAATGCAACAGCAGTAAAGGTAGCTCTTGTGAGGCCTCCAATGCTTGTGAAATCCTATCTGGCACTGGTCTCTCAAGGGCCAGCAGTTTTTCTTGTTTGTCTGGTGCTGCATTAAGTGCCAATGCTACATTGGCTAACACAAATATCTGCAATGGAGTGATTGGGGCAGAAATACTTCCCAGTTGGGATTCCCCTAATTCATTTCGTAGGATTCCATCTTCACCAACTCTTTCAAGGTTGGATATATTATCATCGTCTCTCCAAAGCAGTATGTCAAATTTAAGCTGCAGTCCTTCCAGTCCGACTGATGCACCTGAGTATGATTATTTGTTGAAATCCATGAGTGCTCCTTCCAGAAGTGAAGGTTTTCTTAGTGCTATGGAAGTACAAGTGGCAGGTGGCGCTGCTGGTGAGGACAGGGTTCAAGCTGTTTGTTCTGAAGAAAATGGCTGGCTATTTTGTGGTATCTATGATGGCTTTAATGGAAGAGATGCAGCTGATTTTTTGGCAGGAACATTATATGAAACCATCATGTTTTACTTTAATCTATTGAATTTCGAAACAAAGCAGGAGGCTATTAGAACATGTGAAGATTTCAACGTGGATAGATCTTTTCAATGTATTACTGAAGCTAATAATAGTAGCTATCAGAAAATTTCTTCAAGAACTGATAGCACTGAGGTTAATAATTTTACCAAAAAAAATCCATCTCCCAAAGTTGATGTCTCATCTGATTCATTTAGACAAGGGGTGCTTGATAGCCTCCAGCGTGCTTTAAGTCAGGCAGAGAATGACTTCTTATATATGGTAGAGCAGGAAATGGAGGACCGGCCTGACTTAGTTTCTGTAGGTTCTTGTGTTCTGGTCGTGTTTCTTGTTGGAAAGGATTTGTACACGCTCAATTTAGGTGACAGTAGAGCTGTTTTGGCATCATATGGTGAAGAAAATGAAATGAGCTACAGCGGAATGCTGAAAGCTGTTCAACTTACGGACAATCACACTGTTGAAAATGAAGTTGAAAGGAGGAGACTTTTGCACAATCATCCCGATGACCCCATGCCAATTATAGCGGGAAAAGTGAAAGGAAAATTGAAGGTCACACGTGCACTTGGAGTTGGTTACTTGAAAAAGGTAGGTATTGCTTGCAGCTCTTTTTTTCTCCTTTTAAGTTTGATCTTTTTGTTCTACCACATAAAAAATCAATTAAATTATGATCCATGTTTGACCAGTGAATTGACTATTAGATAGCCCACCTTTTGCTTTTGTCAGGAAAAGAAAAAAAAAGCTTTGTCATTTAGGTAACGGTGGTCTAGTGACTTGGTAGTCTTCCACCCTTCCAACTGTTTAGGGCATGAAAGGGAGAATCATTTTTAAATGGTATCCTTATTCATGGGATAAAGAATTTCTTTTAGAAATTGAGCTTAAAGATAGTTGGAATCTACTGCACCACCTAGCGAAGCTACCATGGGAAAATTAGCAGATAAATGGTTCAATGAATAACAACGATCATAATTCTCAACAAAGGTTTCCTGATTCATTTTGACTTAGCAAGATATTATAATAGAGTGAGCAGTATTTATGGCATGCTTCCTTTATGTGGAATGTAACCATTTTAAGGTGCAAAATCAATGTGGGAGTTTTCTTAATAGGATATAAACAAGCTTTTACTTTCCTGCAGAAAAATCTAAATGATGCATTGATGGGTATTCTTCGAGTTCGTAACCTCCAAAGCCCTCCCTATATCTCAACACAGCCATCAGCGAACGTGCATAGAATCTCAAAATCTGATCAGTTCATTATAGTCGCGAGTGATGGTCTATTTGACTTCTTTAGCAATGAGGAGGCAGTAAAGTTGGTCCATTCTTATATTTTGAGCAACCCTTCTGGTGACCCAGCAAAGTTTTTATTAGAGCAGCTTGTGGTGCGAGCTGCTGATTGTGCAGGTAAATAGCTTGATCTCTAATTTATTACTATTCTGAATAGAAGCTTCTGGTTTGGACATTTTTTTAATTAGGATGGGTCTTCTTGGAATGTAATTTATATGGTTGGTTGTTAGACACTATACCCTTATTACACGGGTATATTTTTTTAGTACAATAATAGGAAAATCAGATCGAGTTGTTAATCTGGGTATGGAAAATAGCTGGTTAATCCAATCTTTACTCAATTTGGTTAATCAGTTGCAAATTAAAACTGTGATAATATCTTTCTTTCACGTCTTGCCCGTAAGCAACTTTTGGATATCATCAATACAACCATTTTCTTGCAACTTCAAGGTGTAGAGTAATTTTCATTTTAGTGGCTGTTCCCATTATTTATGATAAAACATCTTGGTTAAATCTATGATAAACAAACTAAGTTACGGTACAATTCTAGTCTTTAGCCATCATTTGTGAGTAACTAGTGATGTTACCTTGACTCTATCTATCTTACATGTTCTGCGTAGTACATAAGGAGATAATTGTGCTATTCTCAACTTCCATGTGTTTCTCATTTCGATATTGAAACAGATCATGATATGAAACTAATTCCAACTTACATGTTCCATATTGAGCTCAGATGTTCATCAAATGAGAAAACATAAAGGTCATGTGGGATGGAATTGATTTCAGAAGCCAATCTCTGAACTCAGACATAAACAGTTAAGCTGTTTGTTTCTCAAAGCCATTGATTTTATTATTGCAGGTTTCAGTATGGAAGAATTGATGAATGTTCCAGCTGGTAGGAGGAGGAAATATCATGATGATGTCACTGTGATTGTGATTATTCTGGGAACAAATCACCGCACGTCAAAGGCATCGACTTGTCTATAAGATTTTTACAGCTGGTTTATCTGTCTAGCAACAGTATTCAATCTATTCCCTGCCTTCTGCCTGTATATATAGCTAAGGTTAGATGCATATCCTCTTGTACAAAAGCTTTTTATTGCCCAATTTTTGCATGGCACTCAATTTTGTCGAAACTTTTTTTTTTTTTTTTCCCTAATAGAAATTAAGCTTATTCCTTTAAAAAGAATGCTCTCAATTTTGCACTCAAGAGGGGTGCACCACCTGCATAGACGTATCTATACCAGATGCTGTTACATTTAAAGGGTATGCAATAAATTGTTCCATTTACTGTCATAATACATCCACTGCATTTAATAATTTCTTATTCAATGCTTCATATTCCATTTTAGTCTCAGTAAATATGCATAATCAAAATATAATTTACTGCATTCTAGTTAATATTGTTCCTACTGTCAATTATTTAACTTCGTGAATTCCGTTTTTACTTTAAAATATAAGAACTATATTTTTACTGTCAAGGTATTCAAGCTTGGACAGAGGGATTTGCAAACAAGTTATATTATAATTATACATATTAAGGCTAATATAACATTGAAACAGTAAATTGATCAGAAATCTGGATAATGAAACAAATAGAAGAAGAGCAGCTATTGACATTAGGTAAAGAGTTTCAGACATCAGGTAATTTTCCTCCCTATGAGCACAAAAAAAAGCACGTATCAAAAGTTTTTTGGAGACAAAAGAGTTGCTAATTGTTCGATCCAGCATTTCCTTGGAAAGCGTGTAAAATTAAGTTGAAGGACGGGTAAAAAATTAAGTGGTCACTATATTTTGGCACTGTAAAATTTTGAGAGAGAATTTTAATACGAATTAGTTATCAAATATTGAAATTTTAAAGACTGAAAACCCAATTGAAACCAAATTAAATTTTGTATGGATAAAAAATAAGATAATTTTAATCTGAACTAGATATCAGATATTGAAATTTTAGAGATTGAAAACCCAAATCTAAACCAAATTAAATTTTGTATGGGTGAAAAATAAGATAACTTAATCAGAGCTAGATATCAGATATTGAAATTTTAGAGACTGAAAACCCAAATTTAACACAAATTAAATTCAATCTAGTTTTAATGTTGTTAGTCCGAACCATTTTAAAGTTTTCCAACCCAAAACAAATAATAAAACTACTTGCCTCCCAGCATTAGAAGCTATGAATCTTTAATTGCTCAAAACAATTAAAGAAAACTGGCAACTTTAACACTCATTATTCCTGCCGAAGTTAAAGAAAATACTTTAAAATGCAATTGAACAAGGAAAGCGATTTCACTGGAGAAAAGAAACTACAGATATGAGATATTAGTTCCGTATCAATCATCTGCTTTCTGTCTTATGCTACACAAACACGTAGCTGCAGAATTTAATTTAACACAACTGTGAGATTGGGAGGAATAGGCCTCGTGGAGAGAATTCCCTCATCTTCTCTGGCAGGATAAAGTGCAAAAAAAGTGCATATTACAGCAAGAAAAGCTATTCAGTTTTCAGCCTCCTTAGTATTATCCTCTTTTGAATCATGTTCCACTTCCCCTTCTTTTTCCTCAACCTTTGGATCTTGGCCCTCTTTAGCATCTCCTGAGATATCCTGCAACTGCAACAAGCTCACATAATTAAGGTACTCGCACTGCTTCTTGTAAGAGTGTTTGATCAGCTTATTAGTTTTAGTACTTCAAATACATAGATCTTTAGCTTCAATGCTTTAAGTTCATTGTGCCTCAAGAAAAGAGTTTAGATTCCTAGGATGTTTTGAAAACATTTGCAAGTTCATGCTTAATTCAATTAGGTGAGAAAATAAATTGTATTAAAATAATAAAATTTTTGATCTCACAAAATTTCATAAATGAAATTACTCCAGTGACATAAGATTTGAGGTCAAATTTTTTAAGGAGAGTCTTATCATCTTCTTGAATTATATATGGATTTGCAAATGAATTTCACGAAATCTCTAAAATTGTTAAAAACATACCTAAAGATAAAAATTTAATAAAATGAACAAAAATGATAATTATTTACTCAACAAAGTAAAAAATAGTTAAGTTTAACTTTGTTTTCTAGGAAGCATTCTGGTCGAATGTAATAGTCAAAAGAGCTTTTAGCTTCCTAGTTCAATCTCTAAAAGACACTTTTTATTTTGAGCAAAAACCTAACACTTCTAATAGCTATCTAAAGATAAAACCCTTATTTTTAACCAAATGTGTTTTAAGCATCTTTAACCACTAGCGATAATATTTTTAACAAAAATATATTTTAAGCATTTTTGACTTCTAACACTAAACTGAGATATTAGAAGATGGACTTACACCCAAATTCCTGAGGCTAGCAGTAACATCCTCTTGTTGCTGATGGAGAGTATCCTTAAGTTCTTTAAATTCCTACTTCCATAAAGATAAAAATAACATTAATATAGATGAATTTGGAAGGGAAAGAAACTATTGAAGCAGCACTTACTACTCGAAGCTGCTCCACTTCAACATTAAGCGTCTTCTTTAGCTCTGATAGCTCCTGCATAACGTGTAAACAATTATACCAAAATGAAAAACTGAAAAAGTTCTTACATAGTTTTGAGATACCCAAGAAGAAAGCATACTAGCAAGACAAGGACATAGGGGACAAAAGCAAAGAGCACCCCGGTAGTGGAGGACAAGTGAGGTGCAAAATTATTAAGTATAGGATTAATTTTGACTTTGGTTGCATTTTAAGAAAACTATTGAGTTTAGTTAAAATTCCAATTCTATAAAATAATGAGAATACAATATAAACAAAGCTAAATCAAACCAATTTCATGTCCAATTAAAGATACATAGTTTCATCCTTCATCAGTCAGTGGAAATATAAATCATTGTTGTAAAATTAAAAATAAGTATGTTAGTGTAATTATGGAGTAGATAATTAAATCACATACTGAAATTCAACTTATCAAATGATTAATATCTAAAGACATAGTAGAAATAGAAGAGATTTGAATCAAACACAATGTAGCAAAACAAAACACATTAAACTTCAGGAAATTTGAGAAAATAGAGAAATAAGAGAAAGATAAAAAAGAAACCTGGGATAGATAAAATAAGAACAAGGAGAGAGAATAACAGCAGGATAAACAAAAAAAATAAAACCTTAGCAGAAAGTAACTCAGCTCAAAGTCAAAGTCATACTGGCGTATAAGTTAGAATGGCATTAAGAAAACTACAACAACAATGAATACATAGTAAAAAGTTTATAAGTCCTAACTAAACTCAAAATCTACTTAATCTACCTAAGTAGCCTAAACAAGTTGAAGTTATTGAATACTAAGAATAATTAGAAAAATCTTCCTTCAAACTAAAATTGATCCAAATTTAATTTCTCTTCTTTGCAAATAAAATGTGATCTCGAATTTTGTAGTGAAAATGTATAAAATAATTATGGAAAAGATATAAGGTTGGCCAAAGTTGTGATTCTGAAGGACCTTGAGGTCAACTGGTAGAATGAAAACGGAAGGGCTGAATCTGTAGCAACAGTTGAAGGTACTTGTCCGAGAATTTACAAACTCGGCACAAGATATCAGCCTATAGAGATGGCATTCTGTCCAGAATACAGTTAACTCACCATCAAAAGTTGGCCACAGATCAAAGCTATGTTGGACCTTATGCAGTTGGTAAGATTCCAATTATCTAAAATTCCCCAGATCAAGTTGGGGAAAAAATAAGACAAGAAATAACAAGCAAGCTTTGATGCATATCAAAAATGCTTGGTCTGAATAACCAATGTTTATTTGAATAACCAACACTAGTAATTTGCCAAGGCAGTCTTAAATCATAGAGTCAAAATTTTAAACTTCACTATCTTATCTCAAAGGACGACCTGACCAAACCATTTGAATAAAAAAATTCTAATTTACAATGTTGCTGAAGAATATACCAATTTTTTTTTTTAGTGTGATCTTCAATTTAAACTTTTCTACCTTTATTTTTTTCAAGAACAACTAGGATAAATATTACAACAAAAGAAAATAGAGGATTTTGCTAGGTTCAGGTTCAGCAATGTCCCTGCTACTTAAAACAGTTAACATCACAATGCCTTTATCCGGAAGTGCATTAGAATCTGTTAACAATCTGATTCTATGTAAATTTTTACAATGCATAGTCAGAGTATCACTAAACTCAGCAATGCTTCTTTACCTTCAGTTTCTACATAATAGCTCAAATGAGAAGGGGCAAGATGACTTTATTGCAATTTCCGTTTGACTTAGAGTCACATATACACAGTGAAAGAAGTGTATAATCCTAAGATAAAAGTTTGGGAAAGAAACTCTAAAATTCCACACGAGAAGGCACAAAAAACTTCAGCCATTGACTACATTTTATCCCTGTACTAAGAAAAAGACACAACCATACAACTGTCACAAGAAAAAAGTGAAGCATTAGAGGGTGTTTGAGATTGCTGAAAGAAGCATGCGCCATAAAATAATATATGTTTTAAGTTACTACGAGTATATAGTTTCCTACTTAAAATAAAAGGTTATACGTGTGGATGAAATATATACATTGTTAAATTAAAGGATGTCGAGCATGATTAAATAAATTAGTTACATAAATAAAACAAAAATCTAAAAGGTTAGGCATTGTTTACTTAGTTTTTTCTCTGCAAAAGAGTAAGTAAAAAAACTAACAAGTTTCCTAATGTTTACATTAGCAAAGACTTAAGTTAGAACAACTTGCTTAAGAGGGTTTTTGGGTTTGCTGGCAGCTTAGGTGTTTTAGATCACTTCAAAAAATTAGGATTAGATGTGTTATTTTCTGATCTCTTGAAGTCAGTTATAAGAACTTAGTAAGTAGCATATTCTTTTATGTAATTAAACGGGAAAACGGAGCAAAACTGCTTAAAGCTACTTATAAGCACCAAATAAACAAATATCAAACCCCGTAAAACTACTAAGAAAAGAGCATATAAGCATCCCAAAAATCCTCCTAGAGAGCTATAGCTCCAACATCTGAAGAACATCATTCAAAAGTCCAAAAACTCAAAAAATAAGGTCAATTATCAAACTAAAGGAAATATCACAAAGTTGATCAATTGTCAAACAAAATGAAAATGACAAAAATTGCAAAAAGTGATAACATTGGGGGCAAAAAAAAACAAAGGAAATCGAACCAAAGAAAGCAAGACTCACATCGCGGTAAATCTTAACTTGGGTGTCTAGCTTTGATCTCCAATTTTGCAAATCCTAAGCAAACAAACATCCCCCTTGTGGTCAAATACGAAAAATCCACCAAGTAAAAAATCATCCATAAATTGTCAAACCTGTAAAGACAACAGAATCGATGAGAACAAATAATTTCCTCACCTGCTTCAACCCCTGAATCCGATTAAGCAGCTCAGTCCTCGACTCATTCAATTCCTAGCAATAAATAGATCACACTTTAGAAAAACTTCATCGGACTCTAAATCCTGATTTTAGCTATCAGAATCTTTAAGGAAAAAAAAAAGACATCAGTTAGCCTATACCAAGAAACCCAACAGAATTTTTAAAATTTGATAAAAAAATCTCGAAAATTAAATGAAGATACCGCGAGTTTTGAACCCATGGGAGTTACATTCTCTTTCTTCTGCAATAACAAGCAAAATCACACTGATTATCAGTACCACGGGAAAGTCATAAAATTCCTAAATTAATCCTTACTAATTCAAATCTTCTAAGTTACGAAAGAGTTGAGTGCAAAAAGAAAGTAAAAAAAAGTCTGAAATTGAATATGCAGAGAGAGAGAGAGAGAGAGTACGGGAGCGAGTGGAGCAGGGACGGGAAGAGGAGGAGTAGAATCGGAGGGGTTGGTTGCCATTACTGGAAGTTAAGATTGGACGAGTTGAGTAAATGAAGAGGAATTTGGGGATTTTAACTGGAGCGAAGATTGGATGAGTTGAGTAATGAGGGCGGATTTCGGGGTAGAGATCTGAAGCGGAGACGGGCGAATGAAGATATGGAAAAGGGGTAGGTGGAGATTGAACTTGATGATGGAATTGAAGTAGATTTGCAGTGGGGGAGGAAACAAAATTCAATTTTTTGAATTTTGGTGGTTTAGGTTAAGGGCGTGTTTGGGCGGGCAAAAAAGAAATCTCAACTGGGGCACCTCATAATCTCTGTCTCTGTTTCTCCATCTTCTTTTAAACGTTAGATTGGATTGCTCCTTTCTAGAAGTTTCTCTGTAGAGGCGCACGCGTGGGACCCACTTGATGATCGTTTTAAAATCAGAACCGTTAATTCTAAATTGCCTGATAAAATAATTTAGTAAAAAATATTAAATTGTTAATTAACGTCGACAGTATACCTTTTAAATTAAAAAAGTATTATAATAAAAATGAGGAGAAAATAGAAAATTAATTTATAATTATCTCTTGATAATTAATTTTTTATAATTATTGTTGATAATGGAGTATGGAAGGAGGAGGTGTTTCCAATATAATCCAAAATGTCTCACTTTAGTAAGAAACATTGATTGGGTTTTTCCATCATCAAAGTCATAAAACAATAATTTAGTTCTTTCTTTCTCTTTAATTTGACAATGAAAATTAAAATGAGCTTAGAAGGTAAATTATCATGCCCAAAATAAAAAATAATAATATATTAAATTAGAAAACAAAAATAATAATAACAATAATAAAATAAAATTTGTATAAATGGTAAACGTATTTCTTGTATATATTTGTTTCCAAAATATTCTAAGCGAGCTTTCAAAATATATATACATATGTCTTTATAATTATAATATTTATTTTTAACGGCTAAAATAATATTTTAGCTTCTCCAATATTAATTTTTGCTATTAGTTCATATCTCAAATTTTCTATCTACCTTTAAAAAACTTTGGGTTTAGTATATTTCATTTTGTGTCTTTCTCTTTGGGTTTAGTATATTTCAAATTTTCTATCTACCTTTATATTTCATCTCAATTTTGACAAGATATTTCATCTCAACATCATATTTTTCTCTTTTTTTTTATTTTTTTCTTTTACCTCTAATTATCTATTGATTTCTTTATCTTCCCTTAATCTCGTACTCTTATTTTATGTCCCCTTTTTTCTTTTTCTACCTATTCATTTTTAGGTCTTCATGTAGATTAATTTATAGGTTTGTTCATTTTTGTGTCTAAATTGATCTCTCTCCTTAACTTTTTTTTATCTCATTTTCTATTTGTTTTTATTAACAACATCTCTTTCTCTCTCTCTCTCTATATATGCATACGCCCCCCTTCAACAACAATGTCTCTCTTTTTTTGTCTAGAATATAGATATAGAAATTAGGATATAGACGACACAAAAAGAAAAAGACGAAGAACTATTAAGATATTTTTTCCTAATAGTCCAGTGTTGTTGAGTGTTAATAATGAAATGATAAAGGCTTACTAACTAAATTGAACATGGACCCATACCACAAAAATATGTGATTAATTGATCTTTATATAAGAGTTCGAGGTACAAAACTACTAAAAACTTGAGTTTAAACTTTGAATGCCAGTAATTTGAGTATAAAATACTATTGGCTAGTGGTACTTAAACATGTGCAAAGTGTTACAAATGATATTACAATATGTGGGCGACAAACCTGATGCCAGAGCTCGGCAATGCAACTGTAGCGACCCCGAAAATTAAAAAGGAAATATATAATAATTTAAGTGCGGAAGCAAAATAAAATATTAAGGTTTACATCCCTTACACAATAATTTAAAAGTATTGAACAACATTACGGAATGAATTATCTGAAATAAACACGAGAAATAAGAAAAATAATAGAAAATAGAAAGTATCTAGCATCTACTTGCAATATTCTTACGGATCGGGCTCTGGAACCAGGTGCTCTTGATCTGAAATAGTTAAATAAAGGATAAGGTACACTAACTCAGTAAGAATATGTAACGACCCCGGAAATATTAAAATGAAATGAGTATTTAAATATATCAAATGCGGAAGCGAGATCAAAATTTCAGTTAACATCCCTTACACGAAAAACCAAAAACGTACTTAAAATATAAAGGATTAAACTAACTAAGAGAGAAACTCGAAAATAAAACTATGAGTATGACTACAGAGTCTCTAGGCATCCCCTTCGTCGTCCTCCTGCGGAACGGGCTCGGGAACCACGTCTTCCTGATCTGAAATGGTTAAATAAGGAGTGAGCTACACTAGCCCAGTAAGAACATCACGATATCTCACCGTCACGGAGGTAAAGGTGGGTAGAAAAACACAAAAAGACCAATGGAGCATAATTTACAATAAACTCGTTTATTAACATGAAAACCTTCACCATCCACTTACCTCGGTGGAATTTATGAAAACAATATAAGAAAAATAATAACATTATCATAATTATGGAATAATATAAGCTGTAAAACATAACACTTATCACGCCTCTTGTAATTCAATCATTATACAACATATCCTTTTCTCATTTACCAGCCTACTAGTATCC